ATCTTCCGTGGTCACATGGCCAGTGCGACTTAGACACGGGACGCTGTTACCTTCCCACTGAGGTGGTCCCTATTAATCTACTTGCATTTGCATGCTTTCGAACCGCTAGGTTGGCGGGAGCTGGGACAAGCGACGGGAGCTCACTCTGTCGCGTGGATTCGATCTTATGACTGCTGGCCTTCTAACCCCTGCAGCACACAAAGGTTTCTGCGGTTTAGCCCACAGCGCCACCATGTCCCTTGAGGGTGGATGATAGCTGGATATTTTTATTATTTTATGTTATTATAAATTTCCCCCCTCTCCCACTTTTTAGTGGGAATTACAATAAGTGCAAAAATGTGGTGAATGCGTTATTGTCTAGTGGACAATTTAGAAATCATCTATTGCCAGCCCTGAATCAAGTGTTTCCTCTTAAGCTGCATTTTCTGCTCTACCTGCTCAGAAAAGATCTTCTAGATAGCTCTCAGAGAGGTGCTATCCTGGCATAATTTTATGCACAGACATGTTCCCATGAAGCAGCTATTTGTGTATAACTTCCAGGTATCCTGTTAAGCTATCAGATAAGTGGCCATGTGCAAACAACCACAGTTAAAACAACAAAACAAAAATAAATACTCTCATAGCAGCTCTTTCTTTCTTTCTTTCTTTCTTTCTTTCTGTCTTTCTTTCTTTCTTTCTTTCTTTCTTTCTTGAATAGGGACTACAGTAAGGGCAAAAAGTGTAGTGTGCAGATTAGAGACAAAATATTGCTAGCCTTGAATCCACTGTAGTGCTTTCTAATTTGTCACCAAACCAATCAAGGGATTGATTTTTGGGCTCCAATACCTGAAAGATCAACAGTAGAAACCTGCCCTTAACCTGGGATCTTCATTAGATACCATATTTGTATGTCCTGTCATTAAGAGTTACTAAACTTGTAGCTACATCAGACAGGATCTTTTCTTTAGCAGCACCCTATTTTGATCTTGTTGACTTATTTTATCTATGGGTGGGATGTTTATATAATCAGTACTTTGGAAGTTCATTACTTGTGTTAATAATGCTTGTTGTAATTTTGAGAGTCCATTACCGGAACTTGTTCCCATCCTGAAAACCTTGAACACTGTGTATATAAATCTATGGTCTAAATAGTATGCTCCATGCATCTGAAGAAGTGGACTATAATCCATAAGAGCTCACAAAGGTGGTGTGTGAAAGAGAAAGTTGCTGAATGAAAGAGAAGCGAGACCTTTTTAAGGAGAAAGGTAAAGTAAAAATATCTAAAATAAATAAACACGTTTGTTCTTTTTAAGTTTTGTTTCCGTTTAACTTCTTTTGTCAACTTCCTCTCTAAGAAAGTCATACTGGCTCCATCCCTACCAAGTTCTAGATCAGCAATAAAACTATATTCTTTTACTAGAAATTTAGCTTTTAAAATAGTTTCAGCCCCCTTTTAAAAGAATATCTTGCCTTTGTTTTGTAATGGCCAAAATGGATTAGAATGGATATAACTGTACAGCATCCTGGATGGGCAGGAAAATCATATATACATGCTTTAAATATAATACTAAATAAATACTGTAGAAAATAATTTATGTGTTCTATGTATATAGGGACGTGGTGGCGCTGCGGGCTAAACTGCAGCAGCCTGTGCTGCATGGTCAGAAGACCAAGCACTCCTAAGATTGAATCCATGCGATGGAGTGAGCGCCCGTCGCTTGTCCCAGCTCCTGCCAACCTAGCAGTTCGAAAGCATGTAAATGCCAGTAGATAAATAGGGACCACCTCAGTGGGAAGGTAAACAGCGTTCCGTGTCTAAGTCGCACTGGTCATGTGACCACAGAAGATTGTCTTCGGACAAATGCTGGCTCTATGGCTTGGAAACGGGGATGAGCACCGCCCCCTAGAGTCGAACACGAATGGACAAAAAATTGTCAAGGGGAACCTTTACCTTTACCTATGTATATTTTAACTTCAGGATATAAAGAGCACTTGCTGTCTCAACACAACCAGATACCTTAACAAGGATTTTTCAAGCTTGATGAGATTTCATGCCTCTAGTGAGTGCTAGAGAACCAATGTTATTGGCGCAAAACTAGTATCTTTCTCCTTTGAGAAGCAAGGTGCATGAAAACACCCACAGCCAGGTACAGATATGTTCCCATGAAGAAGTTATTTGTGTAGAGCTTTCAGTCCCCCTGCCAATCTACCAAACAAAGGGCCATGTGCCATGGAAAGGAAACAACTTTGAAATGCAAACCTTCAATTATTTTAAGTATTAGACATCTCTGAAAGAAAGTAGCAGGCATCTTCATTTTGCATCTTTGACACTGTGTTAAAGTACTACTTGCACAGTTTTTCTTAATTTATTACAGAGAAAGAGAGTCATACTCCACTTCTCTTGTTGGGAGTGCCACAAAATAAGCTCACCTTCTTATGAGGTTAAAATAATAGCTTCTTGTGGTCCCTCATTTTGCCACACAGTGATGAAACAAAAGCAAGGATCTACATCCTTATTGCAACTTTCTGAGAAACTCAGAAGATCAATGTTTGATTTCATCCGATTTCCCCCCTCCTACAGTCAAACCAAATACACATAAACATGTTAACAGAAAGTTGCTTGTGTGGCTGAAATATTTATGTTTACAAACGTTGCTTGTAAGCTGATAGATACTTAAGGGCTGACACTTGGATACTTAAGGGCTGCTAAAAAACAAAATAGACTACACCATATTATGCCTCCCTTAACAAAAGGGCAAAGGTTACCTCAGTTAATAGTCTGTACTGTCGATTCCTTTTATTAAAACAGCAATCTGTCAACAAGCACAGTAAATAATGTTGCTGCTTTGAAGCACTGAACAAGCCTACCATCTGTAGACTTTGAAATGCAGTCAGCTATCTCTAAGGTCTGAGTTCTTTTTAAATGAAATCGTAACAAGTAAACCATCTGAACAATAACAAGGTGTATTTAAGCTTTTTTGCCATTTTTGTTCAAAGGGCATTGCAGTTTTGAACAAACTGTGTTCAAATAGTTTCTGTGATGATTTAGAAAATGAAACAGTAAGTGGAAGCTTTCTTTTCACCGCCAAGAAAGTAAAGCACCTTTGGAGCAAATGGAATGGAACTGTTTCATTAATGGTATGTTTGAAAAATTTGGATTATATGGGTTTTGATCAAAAGAAGAACTGTGGGAAAGTAAGATGGATTACATCTAAGAAACAGGGTATCCTCTAGTGCAGAGGTCCCCAACCCCCGGTCCGTGGCCCGGTGCCAGTCTGTGGCCTGAGCTGGACCGGGTCATGGAGACAGACCTCCAGCCCCACCCCATGCATGCACGAAGCACCTGCACAAGCACCACACCACCATTTGCATATGCTCACAAGCACCCACGTGCCCACACAAGGGCCACACCGTCATTTGCTCATGAGCACGAGCGTGCCCTCATTTGCATATGAGAGATCGCACTTGTTCGCACATGCGCACAAGTGCTGGGGTGCCCCACCTTCCCTAGCCGGTCTATGGGGTGAAAAAGGTTGGGACCCCTGCCCTAATGGAATGGCATCCCAATCCAGGGGTGGGCAATTATGGGGGCCAGAGTTCCTCAGGTAACATGGGAACTATCCTGGCTAAGTAATTTCTTAGGATGTAGCACAAGAAAGAAAGAAAGAAAGAAAGAAAGAAAGAAAGAAAGAAAGAAAGAAAGAAAGAAAGAAAGAAAGAAAGAAAGAAAGAAAGAAAGAAAGAAAATTTCCTAACTTTAATTTATATCAGCCATTGTCAACCTTTTTTGGCTGCAGCTATAAACACATTATATAGGCCGAATCAGGATTGTATACTCACATAATGAACCTTATAAGGTGGTGTGAATAATTGTTTCTAGTCTCTGCCCCCCTTCAAATGTGCCAGGACACCCCCCCCAAGGGGCTAAATTTGATATCTAAGAAGATAAACTCTGGTTGAAAATCCCATTTTATAACAGGTAGATATACAGGCAGGCAGGCTGACAACACACCATATGTCACTCTTATACTTACTAGATGTAGCTGCAATTCTGTGTATTGTTACCTGTAGGTAAACTCCACTGAACTCAACAGTATGGGCTTTTATTTCTGAGTATATAAGTGCAAACTTGCAAGACACATGGAGTTTTAACACAAGATATTCAGACACCTGAAATGCAACCTTTTTGTACATTATCACTGAAACCTTTACTGTGAAGCACAAGCCCTATTTAAGGTGAGGGGGTATCCAAACACTGATTTAAAAAGAAGAGAGGAAAGAATACTCGAAGCACCTGAAATGTTTACTCTACATTTTTGGAAGTCAGGTTCCAAAAAACAGGAAAAGTACAATGAACTATAGTTGCACATTCTCATCACTGTACTCAAGCAGTTTTGTTTGAAGTAGGTGCAAAAGCAAGTATATAATAAAAAATACCACTGGTATAAATTTTAATAGCTATCACAGAATAATATATTCATTAAAGGTAGGGGGCATGTCTGTAGACAGCTGTGTTATAAAAAAACAGCTGGTTCTGATTTTGTATATACCACAAAAATGTTTTAATGCTTTTCAAGCTTTTGAATCAACATTTTCATACGTTTGTATTTCATCTCCATTCAAGAAGGAGTTGAAATGCTGCAACGTGTTGGGCATTAAAAAACAAGAACAAAACTTTCCCCACCTGCTGAGAGTTGTTTTTCTCTTTTTCCTTTTTGTGGCTATTAAGGTTCTTTCATTTTTGCTGATTTCCTACCCACAAAGAATCTTATACAAAAGAACAGCAATAACGGGATTAAGCCAGGGTGAAGCCTTTAATAAAAGCATATCAGGGAGAAACAAAAGACGTCTGAGGAAGTGGGCTTGTCCATGAAAGCTCACATTAAAATATAACAATGAGGTTTTAAGGTGCCACAACAGTTTGTCTTCTTTCTTCCTTGTCTACTTTTTGCCTGATATGGTAGCACCGACTAACATGGTTAGCTCTTCCAAAATTACAATTAATGAAAGCAGTAACTTACATTGACAGATTCCTTGCCATTATACTTCACTCGGATCCTAGGTTCCTGTACGACATCCAGGTTGGACCCTATGACAGTCAGAGGTGTGTGGCCACTGAGGGGAAGCAGAAGACATTCAGTTAATAAGGTCTGGCAAGGGGAACTGGGCCAGAGCCCAGTGCCCATGTTTCTGGCAAATACAAATGCTTGTTGAACTCAGCAAGATGTTTTCGACAGGCTATACAGGAACTAGGTGACAGAGTGGATTAATATGCTTTCACCCTGACTCTGGCCAGAGCTGTCTCACAAGTTAATTGGATTTTCTGGTCTCATCTGTCCCTCTATTGGGCGGTTACCTCTCCCATGTAAAATTTCTTGGGGTTGGCAGGAGGAAAAAATAAATACCCAGGACTAAATAAATAAAGACAATAAATTAATCATTCTGCTCAATGCAATGGCACACACTCCTAAGTCGGAGAAGCTGTGCGTTACAGAACCCTTTTGAGGAACAGACTAATATTTTGCTAGTAACTTTGTAAGCCTCTTCCCTATACTCCTTTTAAAACATAATTGTTTGCAAATTGCTACTTATGGGGCAGAGATTTAATTGGGGAAAAAACATTGATGTCTCTCAAATAAGAAAAGGCACATAATGACTTAAAGAAAGTGAAAGCGAAGTTGTTCACTCCTTCCTAGATTCTATCTCAGAACAGGTAAGGTTGTTTGAAATTAAATTTCCTTCTAACCTGCAGAGTAGCAGAGTTGTCAGAGAGAGGTGGGTACTGTGTTATTCCACTTTTGATGGGGAAAATGAACAAAAGCCAACCCAGATGGCTTGGAAAGGTGATCAGGAATTGCATGACAGTTCTGCCTGTGACATATGTTGACCCCCTTGAAACTGACCTTGAAATGCAGAAAGCAAATGTCAACAGCCACAGTGTTACATGATGCTTTGTTAAATTTAAGGCGTTCTCAGGATGACTGTAATGTCTGGACTCTCCATATTTCTAAGGAATTTATGTGTGCCTCCAGAATCTCACCCAGCCATTATGATAAACATACTCCAAGCTCCTCTATCATATCACTTCTTCTCACTTAGCATTATTTCTGGTTATTCCTTTGATTCATAATATCCCAGGGATTTGTATGCCTCAGTTTCACAAATCCCCCCCCCCACTCCAGGCCTGGCTTTCAGCTTTTGAACTGGCAATGAGAGTAACAACTACCAGCCAAGTCATCTTTGCTCCTTGCAGCCAGAAAGCCAGAGGGTTGAACATGTCTGAAGGGCACACAGTATGATAGAATTTGGGCAGCTTTTGTATGGCACCCTCTGAAGCCAATGAAGTTACAATGGCAAAGAAAATGACCCCGCATAGTAGACAGGGGTCCGTCAGTGCCCTGCACCTCAAAGAACTCTTATAGAATGAAGCTACACATGAAAAGGCTGCCTTGAACAGCATCTGCTTTTTTAATGCCTTGGTTGTCACTGTTTTTGTTTGATTCCTGAGTCTCTGACGCTCTTAAGAAGAAGCCTTTAATGAGTAATTGTGCACTTCTTCAGCAGATGGGAGTGATCACAGGGCTCCACACACTCTCCCAAAAATCTTGTCACAGATTGCCATGGGTTGTAATTACCTCAGTAATTACAACTGAATTAAAAACTCTGATTTTTCTAACTCAAGGAATAGGGGTGCTCTAACTGTCCAGCAATGATGAATTCATGGATAGGACACATGATATAGTCCCCCCCCCCAATACGCTGAAGGTTCTTGAACTTCTAGAGTTATTGTTCAGGGAGCCAGTAGTGGCAATGGTGAATTCTTCAAGATGTTCAGACACTATCAACCCAGAAAATCCACAAGAACTGCTGTATGATGCTCCATTCTTACTTATAAATCTTCCGTAAATAAATTCTTTAGAAGCTTGAGAAGGCTGGTGTTGGCACAGCGAAGCAGAGCAAAGTGAATTGCAGACAGCAGCTCTTTCTCTAACAGAGGGGATTTGATTCTCTTGCACTGAGTCACAGTCTATGTTTCTTTTCTGTTGGAAGGGACAGTAATCAGAGCTTTGTGGTATACTGGTTAAACTGCAATACTGCGGACAAGACTCTACTCATGACCTGAGTTCGTCCCTGACGGGTTCAGGTAGCCAGTTCAAGGTTGACTCGGCCTTCCATTCTTCCGAGATCTGTAAACTAAGTACTCAGCTCTGACAGCTGGGGGGCAATGTGTAGCCTGCATAATTAAACTGTAAATTTCCCAGAGAGTGTTTTAAATGCTATAGTATATAAGTAGTACACTTTGCTTTGCTCTAATCATTTTCTAAATTAATGGTGTTAAATATAGTGTTGACAGTAGAATAATCATCAGTGAAACTCGAAGAGCTGAGAACTCTCCCCCCTCCCCAAGATAAGCATGCAGAAAGTGACAGTTTATTTAAGGTGTTTTTTTTTCAGAATGTGTACAGGAGCTGAGCATTTCTTCTTCTGCAATGATTGTGACATGTATTTACAGAATTTGTGACTTTAAAAGCATCACTTCTGTCTGAAATTTCACTCCAATTTGTCTCTTCCCTCTTTCTAGAAGGTGACATTTAGAGAGAAAATTGATGTGATTTTTTTCATGATATAGGCAACCTACCCTTTATTTCAAAGTAATACCTACCAGCTAGCATTGAAACTGTTTTAACAAGACAAAAAGTTAACTGCCCAGAGTAGATTTGTCTAGATGGGTGGTATAAAAGCCAAATAAATAAAGAAATAATGCTCCTTTAAAAAAATGTTTAAAGAATTTTGCAAAATGGCTTTGCCTAACTAACATCTCCATCACATGAAGGTTTTTAGTGGTAAGATGTGTAAGAAACAAGGATTACTTGTGCCTTTTATATGGGATCTGGAGAATAAACTACTGCAATACTAATTCTTCTCAACCTCTTTCATACCTAGTGTTTGCTTTTCTTATGCTGTTTGGCTGGGAGCAAGCAGTAAGCTAACAAACACACATTTGGATGAGAACTCTGGCACCATGAGGATTAACAGTGCCATTACTAATCACTCGAAGTAGGCATGTAATTTGTTAACTATGCAATGAAGTACTGCACTTTGAAATAACACAAAAACTGTTGTGCCCAGGATACAGAAGTGAGTCTGTGACTTAAGCTTTTTCCAATTGAGGGTTCCAAAGTATGTCATCAAGATGTTACCATACTTGAATTAATGTTTGTCTCGTATTACCACACATATATCTTCGCTTGTGCTGCAGAGTTTTGAATTTTGGTTAAAAGATCTCTAGCTTTGCAGAAGAATTAGCTTCAAGTCTTCCTAGGCGAGACCACGCCTTTTGCTTCTCATCAACTGGCACTTACAGTCTCAAAAACGCACTTTCCCACTATTCCACTTTCCATGTGTTCTGGTCCAAACCATGTCTATTGAGGTTCTTATTAAAGGCCCATTTACCTGGCTATGCTCCACTCCGGCTCAATACGCTGAACTTTTGGGTCATCAATGTATTCAAACTGCAACATGCTCTCTATGTGGGCCCGGTCCACACTGACTGAGACATGCACAATGCCTAGGCCATGAGTTGAAGGTGCAGACACACACACAATGTCATTCATGGATCTCCTGTAGGAGAGAATGGACAAAAAGTGGAATCTTTAACAAGTGGTGTCCAAAGAGATAGCTATGTTAGACTGTTTCAGCATATTGGCAAAATTAAGGAGGAAAAAGAGGAAAGAAGGAAGGAAGGAAGTGCAAAATGTTGTGGTACTATAAAGACTAACACACAATTTGTTTGAGCGTTCATTGATCAAAATCCACTTCCTCAGACACATGGAGTGCCCCTACTACACCGTCCATAGTTATACATATCCCCATGGCGGAAGGTATAATCACCAAGTGAAGAGACAGATAATAAACAAAGTGACAACACATTGTTAGCGGAAAGATACGCACCATTCCACTGTTATTCTGATTTATGTGGGACCAACCTGTGGGTCCCTTCTGGTGGAGCTCCTTAAAGAAAGCAGTAATAAACATCATTGGCTGCAACATTTAACAGTACCACAATTTGGATCAGGTACAGCATTGGCATGTAACAGTGGTAAAATGACTGAATACTAACGCCTACCTGGGAACTGCAAGGAAGCTGCCATGGTGCTTCCTGGGAGTGATAGTTCTTCAGGAGGCACTCTCCCAGAAAGCATTGGAGCACCTCCTTCTGCAGCACTTCCTTCAGCACCTCCACTGCAGACTGTAGAGTTCCACTTCAGTCTGCAGTGGAATTCTTGCCTCCTTTTGTTGCAGTTAAAAGAGAATAAATGAAACCTGCACAAATACATATTGCTGTGTAGACTGCTCCTCTTCAGAATTCCTGCTAGCTCTACTCTTTGTGGTTTAAACCCCACCAGTCAATCAGCATTCTGTGCCTGCTGAGAACGTTCAGTTATCACAGGGCTGTGTTGGACACATCCCTCCTTGCCTTGTCACACCTTCACCCCAAGATTTCTCAGGACATCTTTCAAATCTGCAGGCCCCCAAACTCTGGAAATACTTCTCAGGGAGGGTGATAGGTGATGTCATATCAGTAACATAAGGATTCATACTTAGGAAATGAATTCATTATTAATACATTGAATGTATAGTATCCTTTCCCAGGACATGAACAAATCTACTTTTTTTAAAATATAAAAGATTCTTCTTTATATCCTTCTTTATAAATGGATTCAAACTATTTTTTCAACCCCATTTGAGGACTTTTCCTCAAAGAGGAAATGTTCCATTCTCAAAGAGTTTACAAATTTTGGGGTGGGGGCAAATGAGAAACAGAGAACAGAGTAACAGTTAAGAGAAGTGGGGAAGAAAAGAATGAAAGATGCAAAGATAAGAAGAGACGACTATGTGTGCTATGTGTGTATATAGCCTGGGTCCTACTAAGAGCCAACCCCCCCTTAGAGACAAACGATGCTCAGCCACTCTCTGCCATGCCCTTTTCCTAACCGCCAGTGGCCTCATGTGAGTACAGGCATTTTTTGCATGCCAGAGAGTAGACTTCAGAAAATCCTGCTTAGCCCTTGTGTGAGATCCAAAGCGACACATCACTGCTGGCAAAGAGTTACTGCAAGCTCCCTGTGATCAGTTAATTAGCTTTCTGCGCTATTACCATGTCGTCATGGTGAATCTCTCCACTCCTCCGATCAGAGGCTGGAGAATAGAGGGAAGCTGTAATTATAGTGAATCTCATTAGAAACTGCTTCATCTAATCAGTCTCCCTGCACATCATGACTATGTACCAAGTTCATCACCTACAAACCATGTCATGAAAAAAGGGAGGAGGGAAGGAAAATGAAAAGAAAAAGATAAAGGCCGTATTATGACCTTGTATGGAAAGGCAGGGATAAATAGTATACTGTTATATTCTTGGCAGTGTTGGGCTACTTATTTATATGAGGCAAATATATAATTCAGTGAATTAGGGACAGTGACAAAATGTAACAATTTAGAGGAGTGTTTATTTTGATGAGATAAATCAAGTAATGATACCTATCATTGCCAAATTTGTCTTGGATCTGCACATTTTTTAAAAATGTTCTTGACAACAATAACAAAACCATTCACAACATAACAAAAACAATACTTTTTCCTTCTATGAAAGCCATTTTTCAAGTATTGTATAATTCAGCTACTTTCAGAAATCTTTGGGGTGTTAAAACTGGCTAGATAGCTCTTTATCACAGATAATGATTGGCCCAAAGGGATGGGGGAGAATAGCAACAACTATCTGCAAGTGATGCTTTAGTTGTGTATTTCGTGCATCTGCCTGGGTTAGATTAGATGACTCAAGGAGGTCCTTACAAATTAACAGTTCTGTAATTCTATGCAAATCTCACCTCTTGTTTTTACAGAACACTTGCTTTGCCTTGTTTTTACTTTGCCAGGTGTTTTGTTCTTCAAGTCTGTAACGAGGGCAACAACCAGCAGAATCATAGCTAACTTAAACCTCATAGATTGCAGTGAATCTGTGCTAAATAGGACCATCCTTCAGAGTAGTAGCAGATTCACTCTACATAGGGAGGGCCTGGAATTAATTGTGTCGATCCTCACTGTTCTGGTTCTGTATGTCCCATTCTTTCAAATGCTTTCCCCTTTATTCTTCTATTTCCTCCCCAGAGGCATCCCACCTCTCTGGATCTTTGAACAGAGTGTACTGTCCAAGGTTGCCTCCCCTAATGAGGCAAAAGGTGAATAGGCCACAATGTCTCCTCTTTAACCAGCTTGCACTTAAGGCTGATATGGCTTTGTATATCTTCCAAAAGGAAAAACCAACAATGCATAAATGTTGCAGGTCATTGAAGCAGCACCTTCATTGTCCATGTCTCTTAGACTTGTGCAGGTAGTGGAAAACACTGGCAAACCTCCAAATAATTTAGGAAAACAACAGACCTCAATTCTGGAGCTATAATCTCATCCTGTTTGGTCAGATCATTGATACCACACAAAACACCCTGTTCACTTGTTCTCTGCTCATATGTTTGCAGTTAACCAAAATCATGTATGACATTCAATTACAGGTTATTTTGTATTTCTTTTAAAGCCACTAAATAACGTGTTTCAGTTGCCAATTTCTTGTCAAGTTTAAGTCAACGGGACTGACTCTAGGCATTTAGAAGAACAAAAGGAAGAGCTCCACGGAGGTCAGAGCTGCATTATCAGCAACAATTTGCTTATATAGAAACAATGGCTTCTATGTATTTCAAGGCTTAAAACGTCATCAGAGAGGCAAAAGCTTTGAAGGAACATCTCATCTACAGATTTAAATGAAAGTGATAGTAAAATTTAACAGCATATTCTGTTTTCCTATTTCTATGTTCCAGAGGTATAAACAAACCCTTTATTGAACAAGATGGGGAAACCCTAAGCCTCTTAAATTCTACCTATCCATTAATATGCTATCCTTAATTTGCTACTTCCCAGTCCAAGGATCAGATGGGTGCTAGGCAGTTTTATCTCTTCAAAGAGGCTATGGATAGCAGCAACTGTGGTATGTAATGCTGCATGAGAGACACTGGCTTTACAACAGGTAAAAGGGTAATAGAAACAGCAAGTGGTTTGCTAGTTCTTTCTTTTCCCTGCATTGGACAAACTGCCTATCGATTCAGGTGGGGAGAAACAACTGAGTGGTGAATCCTAGTTTTCCATTTTGCGAGCAAAGTGCGTACATTTCTCAGAGCTTGGAAAAGTTTTTTAAACTATAGCTGTCAGCTATAGCTTCTCTAGAACTCAAAAGCTGTAGCTTTTCTGTGGTCTGAAATTTCCTGTTCCTCTTCTAAATCAGAGTGGCCAAATAACCACCTCATTGCTTTTATCATAATCAATTGTGTTTATGCCCCAGTTTTCTTCCACCATGGTAATGTAACATGTCTAAAGTATAAACTGAAAATCTAGATTTATTTACTTTTTTAGAAGGAAGAATCACAATATTAATCATATATATTAAAAAACAGATTGGCAACTACTGTACTTAGGTCATAAGGTAAAGAAATGTAAAGTTTCATCCTTCTTTCATGCCTTTCACACACTGGCCATCCTTCTTTCATTCGCTCAAACACTGGCCACCACCAAGCTACAGTAATAGTTTAAAGAAGTTCAGACATGCCTTTTTTTTGTTACATTTTCGTTAGAGACCAAGGGGATAGAGAACATTCAAAGCAACATTCAGCACAGAATATACTTGGGACTTAAGGAGGAGATAGAATTTTAATATACCAAAATAAAGCAACATATTAAAATTACTTAATGTTAATTCCGCTCATTGTTATGCAACCCTTATCACTGTCAGCAACAAGATGGCTTAAGGAGATTAATGAAATGTTGGGCATTTCTAGCTGGAACAGTTTAAATACTGCCTGGTAAAGCACAGCACATACATATACACACAGATCAGACCCCTTACCCATAAAACTCGCAGGTCTGGTTACCCAGCAACACCGACACACTGCTGCCAGCCCCCAAAAAATGGCCAGTGATGGTCACCATAGTCCCTCCTGACTCTGGCCCACGGCTGGGACTCAGAGAGCTCACTGAAGGATTCTTTGGAAGAAAAAGAAAAGAACAAGATAATCTGGTTTGGCTCAACACTAAGATACATTTTCATACATATGGATAGGTCATGAAGGACCTTTAATTGAATGCTCAAAACTCTTGATGAAAGAGTATGAATAGTGACCGTTTGCATATAATACTATATTTTTTTATTTTATTTTGTGTAAAGAATATCATCAGTGCTGCACTCTGATGTGGAGAAACTGAGGCTCAAATCATTGATGAATTTTGCAACTTGTTGGTTTTATAGTGGGATAATCGCCCAGTCTAATGTGCCTCTTGTGAAGTTAAAATACTGCTTTGAATTCTTTAGTGGAAGGCACTGTAACAAATACCAGCAAAATACACCCTTCAGTGTCACAGCTTATCTTTGCCCTAAAACTAAAACACTTGTCTACACAATACAGTACTTCTGATTGCTGTGTTCCTGCAGTCATATGCAAGGCTGGATTGCAGGACATTTGGAGTGAATATAAAGGTTCGTTAAAGCTTTTTCATAGCAATGTTTAGGTGGTGCTATTATATTATCTTTTTTTTAAAAAGCTATTGTAATTAATTGAAACTATACTGAAGTTCAAAGTTATAGTCAGCTTCATTACTTTGAATTCCTTCTGTTCTTAGATTTTTGGTTAATTTTTTTTGCCAGAGCAAGACTCCATAGATGATTAAACCATGAGTCAATTTCAGTGTTTGATCATGGCTTTGCAGAATATTCTTCCTGTTTCCCAACAGATGGCTATGAACATAGTTGTCCAGACTTGCATAAACCTAGACCTTTTATAGATTCTGTAGGATTTGAAGTGTGGTTATTTTACACACAGCATTTTTAACTATAAATAGCCAGAAAAACTAAGGTCAACCGATAGAGCTCACAGTTAGTAATTGTAGCTTATTCTTACTAAAAAAAACCAACAATGATAATAACAAAGCAAAGTGTCCTGCTTTTATACCAATTGTAAATTGATTTACAATTTATTTAGGCAGGCTACACATTGCCCCTCTGGAGAGCTGAGTACTCAATTTGGAAGGCTGAGTCAACCTTGAACCAGCTACCTGGTTCCTATCAGGATCAAACTCAGATCATGAGCAGAATCTTGCCTGCAGTACTGCAGTTTAACCACTGTGCCATGAGGCTCTTCTTAAATTTGTTTTCAGTTCACGGGTGGAACCAAATTCTTCTGCTAATTCTTCTATTACAGCTCTCCTCTGTTTTTGGCAAAATCTCAGTTGATTTCCTGGTAATAGTGCTAGAATGGGACATTAATTATAAATGACCTTTACATTGTTCTCAGTGGTCAGATGAATCAAGTGTCCTGGCTCTGAAAAGAGGTCCATTCTGTTCTAAGTCATTCTTTTTGGTTTCAAGGGGTTTAGAAGGCACTGAAGGAGATGATTTCCAGAATAATCAGAGGAACAGGTTTTCTCCAGGTGTGAAACTGCCTTATATCAGGCTCTCAGTTTTATGCTACATAACGATGCTCTAATGGCAGCATTGTACACCAGGTAAGTGATTGAACTCAGCCTAAATAGGTGCTTGTCCAAGTTCTCTTTGGCCTTGTGAATGACTCTTCTGTACTGAGATTTCTTTCCTTTCCACAATGAGAATAATGATGCTGACATCTGAAGCAGAATGCTTTGAAATCCATGAATGGAAAAGTACAACAGTATTAATATTAAACATGCCGAACAATAGGTAGTTACAGTCCCCAACCTCTAAAAAATATAAAAGCCAAGATTCTCAGCAATTTTAGGTAACCATGGATGGGGTAACCACAGCAGAATCAAGCAGACTTTAGGTCTTCAGTCACATTTGCACAATTCCAAGTTACATTTCTTTGTCGTAAATGGTCTTGGGTCTCAATAAGCCTCCTTACTTCAATTTTAAAGAGTTTAGCCTACATGACTATAAATATTTCAAAGTAAAAGCACATAAGAATCTCATATTTCTTACAATGTTTTGTTCTTACAAAAATATTTGTTTCAGTGTTTTGTTACAGTTTTTGCATCATGTGATTTAAATGACAGAACAAGATTTTTGAGGGCTGCTCCACAAATTTATCAACTAATTTATGCCTAATAAACTATACCTCTCCATTTTCAAAGCTAATAAGCTGTACCTCTCCGTTTTCAAAGCTAACCTGCAAAAAAAGAGACTAATTCATTTTTTGCTTATTGTTTATTCAAGCAGCTCTACTGACTCTTAAATAACTCTTTTTTTCTCCTTAATTGTGACATTCACAAAAGAGTCACAAAAGCTGTGCTGTTTTCATGGTTGTTCTTCCAAGGATGAAAGGGAAAAAGACCACAGAATTTATTTTTGCTTGGGGTTATTAACTTTCACCAAACTTCAGATTCATTTCCTGAAATTGCAAACAAATTGCACACTGAAGGATTATTTGTTTAGTATTTATTATACTTACAAATTGCCCAGTAACCCAATTTCTCTTGGTGGTATGTAGGGAAATTAAAAGCATAAAATGCAAAACAATAAGCAATAGTGAAAGAGCACATTAAAAAAAGAAAAGAAATAAAACCACAGTGCTGGGGGGGGGGAAATGAAAGTGAAAACAAAAAATAAAACCAGAAACAAATAAATCAACTAGCGGAATTTTAAAAAGCAAAGACCTAATACAATAAAAGCAATTCTTAAAATGAACTAGGTAATAAAAACAGAACACATTACCCTATTTGCCGGCGTATAAGATCACTTTTTTGGCCCCAAAAACATGCCTCCAAGTGGGGGGGGGCATCTTATACGCCGGGTGCACTTTAGTTAGGCCAGGAAGGAGCTGCTGTTGCCGCCGTTGAGTGAGTGACACGGGGCCGCGCCAGCAGGGGAGGAAGGCAGGTGGGCAGGTGGGCGGTTGGTCCGGACAGAGGGAGGGAAGCAGAGCCGGCCATGCCCGAGCAGCCAGAGCCCGCCGCCAGCTGCCCGCTGCCCCACGCCACTGAGCCAGCTGCCTGCTCACCTGCCCGCCGCCAGATAGCCGCTTCCCCTCATCCTCGTCCTCCTCCTCCTCCACCACTCGCCCAGCTGTTTCCCCTCCTTCTCGCCCTCCTCGCAGCTGAGCCAGCCACCCGCTTGCCCGCACGCCGCCGGAGAGCTGCTTCCCCTTTCCCTCCTCCTCCTCCTCCACTGCTGCTGCCCACCCAGCCACTTCCACTCCTCGCCCTCCTCATCGCCGGCCATGAACTTCCAGGATGGGCCCGGGCAGAGCCCCGGGCAGCCACCGCCGGCGCCAGAGCAGAGCCGTCCACTCTATATGTTGAGTGGAAATGTTGGGGGGGGATCGTCTTATATGCCCAGTCATCTTGTACGCCGGCAAATATGGTACTTAGCACAAAATGAACCTAATGTAACCACCTCTGTGAAAACAGCATTCCACAGGTAATGTGCCACCACTGAATAGGCTTTGTTTCTTGTAGCCACAAGATTTTTCATGGTCGGGGTGGATAAATACAGAAGCAGATTCTCCTTCAGAAACTTGACTCCAAGCCACTTAAGGTTTAAAATGAAAAGCAGCTGACTGAACTAGGTAAGGAAGTGGAGTTTCTGGACATTTGAAGACAGACCCAGGCATAACACAAAACAATAATTCAAATGGGAGGTTTCCAGCACATGAGTTGATATTGCAAGGCTATCTCTATTCTGGAGACAGAGCGAAGTTGTACGTCTGAGCTGCTGAAAGATCTCCAAGGTATCTAGGCCACTTTTAGATCCATGAACACATTCAAACTGCAGAGCCGATCCTTTAGGATGAAAGAGCAAATAACACTCAAGAAGAGAAAAGCGCGAATATGGTTTAACTGGACAGGATACTTCACAGCTGCTATCTCTCATCTACAAACAGAAGACTGTTTCTGCTGAGATAAAATTCACTGACCCTCACCTAGCATATTATGCTGTGTAAGCATCAGTTCATAACATCAGCTGCCTTACTTGTAAATGAAACAGGCCAGTGGGACAGTGTGTATTATTGGTATTCTTTGATAACACCTTACTGCCCCCAAAACTACCAGTGGGGACCACTCTGAAGATGCAAAGGTGGTGGAAAAGGAATGCTTCTTTGCCACCCTTCTTTCCACAGAGCAAGCCAGTGGACCAAACTGTACATTACCGATGGCTTGTCATTAGAAGCCAAAATCTGTTAGTGTTCTGGAGATGTGATGTGGACAGAGCTCCATGATGCAGCAAATGAAGCTTGCACTTAACTGCTGATTCCTAGTCACAAAACAAAACAAGCTAATTTATAGATGATGAGAGATGGGAAAATCTTCTGTTATGATAGACTTTTTTAAAGTCAAGGAATTCCCTATTGGCCCACACTGAGATAATTGTGAGCCCTAAGCTGTGTTCAACCAGATTCAGTACAAGATTTCCTCCACTTGACTTCTAACTTATTTCTCATGCTTTGCTACTCATAGATCAGATGGATATCAGGGAACTACATGGGCTGTGTAAGGAGGAGAGAAAGGGCACTTAGGGGAAATCATGTCAGCTGCACGGGACATCACTGTGTGCTGCAGTGACCAGGAAACCGACAGCAGGAGAACCTGTCAGAGCCCTCTGGAATCTATCAGAAGGTATGTATCACCTGGGGTGTCTTTCTATGTGTGCATATGCATATGTCTGTGAAACATTTTAACTGAACCCTCATCTGTGCAGAAGGGAGAAGATTCTGAATGTCCAAACTCAGCAGTAGAACAGCATCCCAGCATAAAAGATCATCTCTAAGGGAGAAACAGGGGGTAGAACCTTACGCAATGAATCTAAATTATAAGAAAGGAAATTTCTGGTAAACACTAGAAAGAACTGGACAATAGGAGTTATTTGATAATAGAATGGACATCCTTAGAGTGTGGTGGGCGTGTAATAAACAGAGGTTTGATGGCCACCTGTCAGGATACTATAGCTGCAGATTTCCTGCTTTGGCAGAGGGTTGGACTCAGTGACCCTTGGAGTCTCATCCTGGTCCACAGTTGTATCC